AAATCTCACATACAAAAACAACACTGATGTTTTTACAGTATACCAAAGGCTTATGGGAAACACTATTTGCATCAGTTGCCCTGTCTGTGCCTTGATAAGGCAGTTGTATGGTCAGTGTTGTTTTATTGGGTGAAATAGAATTATAAAAACTGGAACTGGAAATGAATAATGGCACTAAGCTCTTTTATGCTTTAGATTGAAAACAAATATTCTCACCATAAAAGTTACAGATCATTGCCATGCTAGTTTATCAGCTTAGCATTGGGTATTCTAGAATGGTATATATGAATGGAGGGGCAGGGTGATTTCCCATTACAATACCAACATATGAAATTGCATGTTTGAAATGACGCAGTATTGACGTTACAGAGAGGGTGACAGAACAGAAACATTAAAAGCCCTTTGTTGGAGTAATGTATATATTTGTTAGCGATTCATCCTGCACAATGTATACATTGTTTTCTAGGGTTAATTTGTACACAGAAAATATGGTTAAAGGGACATTCCAGTAGGATATAGCTATCCAGTTGTTCCAATTGATCAAATAGATAATGCCTTTAAAACATAAAAAAGAATAATCAAAATAAGATACAAAAAACCTCACCACTGAATGATTCTCATTTGTTTTAAATCTACATTTTTAGCCAAGACCAGGAATTGGCTGAGATGTCTCAGGCAAACTTGATGTTTCTACTGTTTTTTTTATGCAGAGCTGTGCATCTCACATGCAACTGTGTTCAGCAATGGATTATGGGTTATGTAGTTCAGCAGCTGCCCATAGGTTCCTGTGTAAAAAGGCATGAATGAAATTACTATTAATTGGAGCAACACAGCACAGCTTCTATTACGCTGCCAACTAGCTCACTGCATATTTATTCATGAATGAAGCAACTCATGGATGTAGTGTAGGCTTCCTCAGAGAAACCTGTTAACGTGGGGGGTAGCATGTGCTCTCTCTGTAACATCACATGGTGGGCTTCTCCTTGCCATGGATAATTGCAATCAGTTAAGGCAGCACTGTCGCTGTCTGGGGACTTTTACTGAAATCCCAGACCGTAACATCCCCACTGGGGGTCCAGTGGCCAAGGGCTAGTTAAAGGTGAAATTTACTTACCTGAATTTTTCAGGCACAGCGATCATCTTCCGACAGGTCCTCTAAAGCTAAGTGCCAGGAACTAATGTCACTGCTGTATGTGTGAATCCTCCATAGACAGAGCCAATTCACTGGTGACGGCTATCAGGATTGACACTATAGCTCCACCCAGAGTCTATTAAAGGGGGAGGGGGCAAACATCCCATAATTAACAGGATGCAGTCTATGCAAAAAGTGTCTGTAGTCATGGGGTCTGGAGCAACCAGGGGCCAGCAAAGATGGGTCGAGAAATGGAAAAGAGGTTAAGACCTTTGCATTGAGCTGGCAATAAGGACGTCCAGTGCACAAATGTATGTTATAAACAGGCCTAGAAGCGATGAACAAGACCGCTATGAGTAGCTCCAGGGGAAAAACTATTTTTCCTAACACTTACAATCAAGAGCTTTTAATGAGCATTTAATTAACTTTTAACAACGTCTCTTTGGCAAGGTGATTTGATTCTTAAACATTCTTTGTCATTTACCAAAGCTATTGATATTCCTCCAACCTGCAGCTGATGCTTTTACATTGAATAAAGCTTAGTTTAACAATGTTATTTAATGGCCAAAGACAGAGATGCATTAGATATTCATTCGTTACAGTTAGGGATTTTATCTGTTTAAAAAAAAACAAAAAAAAAAACTTTCTATGAATTTAACTTTCATGAGAGATGGAGCTCCTTCGCCCTACAACAGATCGTGACAAAGATGGTAAATTCCTGTAACCAGGGCATTTAATGCCTCTGTCAGGACTGGGGTCAATGGATAGGAACACCAAGCAGATGAATTAGGTGTAATGCTAAGGAATTATGGGGCAAGAATGTGTAAATGTTGGTGAAGTGAATGTAACGGAGGAGGAGTAACGGAAAGAATTTGAGGTTAGGTTAAAGTTATATAGTTATAAGGTGCAGATGATGAGGCACATTCAGGGCATTTCATGCAAATTAGCTGTGAAATAAAATGCTCAATTTTCTTTCCAATTTATATAAAATATTAAGCAAATAACATCATATTCCAGTTCGGACAAAACCAAGACAAGGCAAACACTACAGATGAGGAGGAGAAATAGAAAAAAAAAAAACACTATTTAAATTCTGCTGTTCTCTGTAGGTTTTCTCTATGCTGACTGTCAGTAGCAAAGGACATAACTAAAAACAATCACTGACAGATAGCACATGACGAGGTCACATCACACTGTTAATGATAAGCAAATTGGTGGGGCATCAAAACACATAGAAATGGGAGAGAAGGAAGGGGGTGATGACAAAGAGTGACTTTGGGGGAGTGAGAGAGAGTTGGGGGAGGCTGCAGAGAGAAAAGGGGCAAATATGGAAGAGTGGCCAATAATAGCAAAGGGGAAGAGGCAGGGAAAAAGAGAGCGCAGGGAATAGGGAGAAAGAGTGGAGACGAGAGGGACAAAGAAAATATGTGGGGGTGGAGGGGGGTAAGGACAAAGACAAAGAAGTTGGTGGGGACAGAGACAAAGTGGGAGCAGGGATAAGGGACACAAATGGTGAAGAGAGCAGTGACAGAGAGGGTGGAGGGGGCTATGATACAGAGCATGGTGGGGGCAGGAGCAGAAAGGGTGGAGGGGAGAATGAAATAGAGGTTGGAAGGGGCAATGATAAAGAGCAGACCTGCACAACTTGGCAGTAGGTAGGAGCCAAAATTCAAATAGGCTAAACTTCTTCGGGCCGAGGTTTTAGCACCTCAGTTTCCAAGTAAAGTTATGAAATTACATACAAAAATACAGAAAAACACACACAATGACAGACATAGAGTTGTTATACACACACTTACAGACATACATGTGGCAAACCTAGCCACTTTTAGGTTACATGGCTGTATCTGTAAAGGTTGTCTGTATAAGCCGCTGGACTGTTGTATTGGAATGTATGCATATACTGCTATATCCTACAGCATTCGTATGCTAGCAGCCAAAAGCCGCTAGCATTCATGTGTTCGTTTCACGAACAGGGACTTTACCTGCTGTTCGTGAAATGAATGAGATACCACCCAGGAGCCCACACACAGAGGGTCGTGTGGCACCCATTAACCGATTGCAACATTGTTGCAATCAGTAGTTAATTGCGTTCCTAGGAGGCCGTCGTTCGGCTACTGACCATGCAGTGGGCGGCCATCTTGGATCCTTTGTTTCCCCAGGTGTGTTTGTTCGTTGAGCGCGTGGAACTGAAAACGGCTACTCGCCGGCGCGAACACCGCTGGACTTCCAGGCCGTTCGGGAGCTCACTATTTCACTATTATGGTTCCCCATTGGTGTTCGGTACTTTCAGGCGAACATAATATTAAAGTGTATTTCGTGCGGCGTTCGGTTATTTATGCTGGGATCTGAGCGATATTCTCACGAAAGGTGCGCTCAGACCCCAGCTATCTACCGAACGTCCATTCGTTTAAATAACGTGAATGATGGAAAAGTTATGTAAAATGTTGGTTCTGCTGCACGGAGGGATAATCCACTTGGGAGTATGCCTCTCATCCAGCAGTGCCTGATGGGAGAAATGTCGAGATTATTAAGTCCCCCATGTAGTCCCCTACTGTATAACCCATGCAATGTCAGTAAGGAAACCCCTTGCATGGGGACTTGCATAAATACTGTGACTTGTGAATAAAAGCTCAGTTCACTCCCAGAACTGTGTTTCGTCCGGTTACTGGGGGGATTTGGGATATTGCCTTACTTTTCAGCGCTTTACTTTGGATTACTTTCTGTACCAGCGGAGATTGTGGAATTTAATATTGCAGCTCTGCTACAATACAGATTCACACTATAAATGCCAATAATAAAAAACATGCCTACTGGGCCACCTGATTAGCCCTCTTAGTGTGCAGCCCTTTCTTTGCAAGCCGCAAGCGGCTCACGTGCCATATGTTGTGCTGATTCGATACAGGGCAGGGACAGGGAGGGTGGATTGACAGAGCGGGTGGAGGAGGAAATAAAAGAGAGAGTGACAGAGAGGGTGTAAGGGAATATGACAGAAACGGTGGAGCAGAAAGGAATAACTACAAAAATACTCCCCAACATTCACACACTTTGATACTTCCCAAATACACACATATTCACACACTGACAGTCCTACAAAAACACTCCTGCATTCACCTACACTGATACATTACACAAATACATCCCTGCATTCACACATACTAATAACAAATATCAATACACCCCTGCATTCACACATATTGCTATTCTATATAAATACACCTCTGAATTCACGCATACCGTTATTCTATATCAATGCATCCCTGCATTCACGCATATCATTATCCTATATAAATACACCCCTGAATTCACACATACCGACATTCTACATAAATATACACCCCTGCATTCACACATACTGATATTCTATATAAATACACCGCAAAATTCACACATTCCGATATTCTATATAAATACATCCCTGCATTCACACATCCCAATGTTCTATATAAATACACCCCTGCATTCACACATACCGATATTCTATATAAATACACCCCTGAATTCACACATACCTATATCCTATATAAATACACCCCTGAATTCACACATACCTATATCCTATATAAATACACCCCTGAATTCACACATACCGATATTCTATATAAATACATGCATTCACACATACCGATATTCTATATCAATACATGCATTCACACATACCGATATTCTATATAAATACACCCCTGAATTCACACATACCG